TAAGCCCGTGGAGCTGAATCACAAATGATGTATTTTGCACTTTTTTGAAAAAAAAATGGGGAATGCAATATATCAAATGTAGCACGATCGATAATAGCTCTGGTTATTATGTGATGTTACTATGACTTGCTGCTCTTGTGAGGTCATTCAGGGTGAAGTAATAAAATCAGGTCAAACTGATCTAGAGTAAACGCGTTGTTGTGTGTCACTTTGTGTGTTGGTGGGAAGAACGTCTCCGCCTGCACCCCAGGGATCTCCGGTTACGGGGCCAAAGCTGTGATAAGCGATCGCTAGCAAGTGCGACATTTCGGAGTCTCGCAGGACCCGGTCACATGCCTGATGGAGGGTTCCTGCGAGACTCCGAAAATGTCACACTTGCTGTAACTATGATTTGCCTATGTGGGCAGCACAGTGGCTAAATGGTTAGCACATCCCGCCCTGGCAGTACTAGGGTTGCTGGTTCGAATCCCAGCCACGGCAACCACCTGCCCAGAGTTTGCATGTTCTCCCTGTGCCTGCGTGGGTTTACTCCGGGTACTCCGGTTTGCTCCCGCACTCCAAAGACATGCTGGTAGGTAATTAGACTCTGTCTAAATTCGCCCCAGTATGTGTATGTATGAATGTGAGTTAGGGACCTTAGATTGTACGCCCCTTGAGGGTTAGGGGATGATTGTGAAAATGTACAAGTATAGTTATGTAAAGCGCTGCAAGGCTATACATTGATGGCGCTATAGAAGTACCTGAAATAAATATTAAAGCTTTGGACCCATAATTGGAGATCCCTGGTGTGCTGGGCTAAACGTTCTTCCCACCTGGGTTTTTTTTTTTGGGTTCCAGCCATTTGTTGGTCGCTTTCAGCGTCCACATCTATTGGGGAACGTGTGCGGTGGGATTGTGTCTCTTGACTTTGTGCGTCTGTTCATGAACATAAACAGTATAGAGTTCAATCAAGGCTTTCCAGGGCAAAACTGGCTTCTTAGAAAGGGAAACCTGTCTGGAAGATCCTGGTGGCCCCTACTTCAGGGGCGGACCGACCATCCGGGTACTCAGGCACTGCTGTGGCTGAGGGGTCGGTTCATTAGAGGGCCCATGAGCCCTGGGTACATTTCATAGGCTTTTTTGGCTGTGGTTTGAGTGTGGGCGAGGACACAGGGGGCCCCATGATCCCCTATTGCCAGGGGCGCGAGGGGGGGCCCCCATGAGTTGTTAGTCCACTCCTGCTCTACTTACCTCTTTATGGGGGAGAAGGTTGGTTCACTTCCAGGGGCGGACTGACCATTTGAAAAAAACTCGGGGAACTGCCCGAGGGCCAGGGTCAGGTCAGTAGGGGGCCCCATGAGATGCCCCTGGTACCTTTTTCATAGGCTTTTTTTGAGTTTGGGCAAGGCTTCCCTGCCCTCTACTGGTTGGTTTGCAGAACTACACGCTCTGTTCCTGTGACATTGTTTCGCAGTTTGTGATCTGCATCATTGCCCTAGCAAAGGCTTTACTAAAGGCAAATAGACTGTGCACTTTGCAAAGTGAATTTTCACTCTGCAAGTGCAGTTGCTCCAGTGCTTAGTAAATGATCAGAAGCTCGGCTGACTTCCATCATCCAATCCAGTATTGCCAACCTCCTGCCGCATTTTTTACTGACAAAACATGGAATATTTTACTGACGGAGCACATTTTTTACTGACAACCTGAAAAATGACATTAACCGCTGCTAATACTGCTACAGGGGGGCACAAAATCACATATATTTTATGTCAGATACTTATATAGCGCTGTCAATTTACGCAGCACTTTACATATATATTGTACATTCACATCAGTCCCCCCCCGAGGAGCGTACAATCTAAGGTCCCTAACTCACATTCATACATACACGGGACACTTTAGACAGGTGCCAATCCACCTACCAGCATGTCTTTGGAGTGTAGGTGGAAACCAGAGTACCCGAAGGAAACCCACGCAGGCGCAGGGAGAACTTGCAAACTCCAGGCAGGAGGTGCCGCGGTTGGGATTCGAACCAGCGATCCTAGTTCTGCCAGACAGAAGTGCTAACCATTTAGCCACTGTGCTGCCATATATACGTGATTTTGCATATTTGGGTAGGGGGCATGAGCGCACTACCCGTGCTGCCATTGGCAGCCTCAGCTGTCGATCACCAGGTCCCAGCCTATAATTTCCTGCTGGCACCCGTTGATCACCGAGTATTACTGATGGAGAGGTCTGTATGTAAACAATACAGATCTCTCCCCTATCAGCTCCTGCACACTGCTTTGTATGGCTCTGCATAGTGGTGTTTTCCCGCATTTCTGGTTTTTAAAGTTTTGCTTGACCAAAAAAAACTGGTGTATTTTTGGTCAAAGAAAGTAAAAAAAGCGCCGGTCTATGTGTGCATGGACACATAGGGGAACACGCCGGGGATGGACACATAGGATAACATGCCGGGGATGGACACATAGGGGAACACGCCGGGGATGGACACACAGGATGACACGCCGGGGATGGACACATAGGATGACACGCTGGGGGGTTTACTGGCTGTAGAAAAAAATATATAAAAAATCAAAAGCCAAAAACAGCCGCTGTAAAAATGTCCAGTGTGCATGAGGATTTATCACATTTTGCTGCATTTTCCAGCATTTGCCTTTTTTAGTGTTATTTTTACTAAAAAACAGTTTTGGTTAAAAAAAAAAAGTCCAAAAACACCGGTTTGCGACGTTTTACCGCGTTTTTCAGTGTTAGAGCATTTTTACAGCTAAAAAACTCCTCTAGAAACCCACACATGGGATAACACACGCCGGGGATGGACACGCAGGATAACACGCCGGGGATGGACACGCAGGATAACACGCCGGGGATGGACACGCAGGATAACACGGCGGGGATGGACACATAGGATAACACGCCGGGGATGGACACGCAGGATAACACGCCGGGGGGTTTACTGGCTGTAGAAAAAAAAACTGTCAAAAAATGTCAAAAGCAAAAAAAACAGCCGCTGTAAACACGTCCCGTGTACATGAGGACTTACTGCAGTCTACACAGCATGACAATTGATCAGCCCCTGATATTAAGAGACCGTTGTAACAATCACTGATTTATACGAACTGTCAGTAAATTTACTGATGGTTGGCAACCCTGATCCAATCACGTCCAAGCAAAAATACTGTTTTGTTTTTTTTTAGTTTCCTTGCATGTGATTGGGTATTCTTGGCAAAGGGAAGCTGTACCTAATTTACTAAGCACTGGAGCAACTGCACTTGCAAAGTTCACAGTCTATTTGCCTTTAGTAAATCAGCCCCTCTGTCTGCTGGGTCCCTCTGTCTGCTGGGGTCAACACCTGCAGCTCTGGTACTTTCCATGTCTTAATATTGAGGTCTTGGCTGTTGTCAGGGCTCCAGGGTATGACCAGAGGTATGTGAACTGACGCAGGGAAACGCAGGCTTCAGATAAGTTATAAACAATATCATTTATTAAAGACTAACAATACAAACATAAACGCAGTGCAATACTAAAACATAACAGTGCAAACGAACCAAACCAACCACCCACAGATAACAGTACATACAATGCAAGCGTCGTCAGGCAGGCCGGGTCAATAACAATCGGGCAGGTAGGTACAGGGGGTCAGGCAGAGAATGGTCGGGGTCACAAGCCAGGGATAAAACAGGAGAAGTCAGCAGAGGTCCGGATCAGGCAGGGTCGGCAACGAATCAGACAGGGACAGGGATGCAGGAACAAGATACAGGGCCCAGGAAAAACACACACCAAGGCAGAGACTGCAGATCTGGCCATCCCTTAAATACACCTGCATAATCAACTTCAGGTGTTTGGCTGGCTGCAGGGTTGAGTCTCTGATTGCTGGGAGCACCCGCTGGCCAGCCCTGGTACTGCAGCCCACAAGGCAGGTGAGTCCCACCATTACTGACAAGTCCATTCCTGACAGTACCCCCCCCCTCAAGGAGCGGCCTCAGGACGCTCCAAACAGTCCTAGCTGGGCAAAATGTTCCACCGCCCGGGTCTGGTAACTGGCGGGATATCAAAGACTGGCACATCGGGCAGGACTCCGGGCAGCGGCACACCGGGCAGGACTCCGGGCAGCGGCACACCGGGCAGGACTCCGGGCAGCGGCACACCGGGCCACCAGGCGGAGCGGCGGGCGCCGGGCCACCAGGCGGAGCGGCGGGCGCCGGGCCACCAGGCGGGGGCGGCGGGCGCCGGGCCCCCAGGCGGGGCGGCGGGCGCCGGGCCCCCAGGCGGAGCGGCGGGCACCGGGCCCCCAGGCGGGGCGACGGGCATCGGGCCCCCAGGCGGGGCGGCGGGCCCCCAGGCGGAGCAGCAGCAGGCCCCCAGGCGGGGCGGTGGGCATCGGGCCCCCAGGAGGGGCGGCAGGCGCCGGTCCCACAGGAGGAGCGACGGGCGCCGGGCCCCCAGGCGGAGCGGCGGGCACCGGGTCATCAGGCACGACAACGGGCATCGGGTCACCAGGCATCAGGTCATTTGGCTCGCCAGCGGGCACCGCGTCATCTGGCAAGGCAGTGGGCACCGAGTCACCAGGCACGACAGTGGGTTCCGAGTCAACTGGCATGACCACGGGCACTGGGTCAGACATTGGATCGTCTGGCTCGACAGCGGGCATCGGGTCACCAGGCATCAGGTCATTTGGCTCGACAGCGGGCGCCGCGTCATCTGGCAAGGCAGTGGGCACCGAGTCACCAGGCATGACAGTGGGCTCTGAGTCAATTGGCACGACAGCGGGCACCGGGTCATCAGGTACCGGATCGTCTGGATCGACAGCTGGCACCGGGTCATCTGGCGTTGGATCGTCTGGCTCGACAGCGGGCATCGGGTCACCAGGCATGACAGCGGGCACTGGGTCACCAGGCATCAGGTCATTTGGCTCGCCAGCGGGCACCGCGTCATCTGGCAAGGCAGTGGGCACCGAGTCACCAGGCATGACAGTGGGCTCCGAGTCAACTGGCATGACCGCGGGCACTGGGTCAGACATTGGATCGTCTGGCCTGACAGCGGGCATCAGGTCACCAGGCATGACAGCGGGCACTGGGTCATCAGGCATGGGATTGTCTGGCTCGACAGCGGGCATTGGGTCACCAGGTATGACAGCGTGCACTGGGTCACCAGGCATCAGGTCATTTGGCTCGTCAGCAGGCACCGCGTCATCTGGCAAGGCAGTGGGCACCGAGTCACCAGGCACGACAGTGGGCTCCGAGTCAACTGGCATGACCGCGGGCACTGGGTCAGACATTGGATCGTCTGGCCCGACAGCGGGCATCGGGTCACCAGGCATGACAGCGGGCACTGGGTCATCAGGCATTGGATCGTCTGGCTCGACAGCGGGCATCGGCTCACCAGGCATGACAGCAGGTACTTGGTCATCAGGTACCGGATCGTCTGGATCGACAGCGGGCATCGAGTCAACTGGCCTAATGGAATCATCAGGCTCGATCAGTTCATCAGGCTGGGTAGAAACTTCATGCTGGGTAGAGTCTTCAGGCTGGGTGGAGGCATCAGGCTGAATTGTGGGCGCCGAGGCACCAGGCTGCACCACGGAAGGCAGGTTCTCAGATGGGAGGCTGACCGGTTTGGATACTGGCAGGATGGTATTGGTTGGAAAGAACTTTCGCCTTTTCCTGGTTTTAGTTACCGGAGCACCGTAAGTAAGCGCAGGTTTGTAAACGGATGGAGCAGCTGGAGACAGAGAAGAGCTGGAGGATGGAACAGGGGAGGGAGCAGTTGCTACAGAGGGCTTCTTTACAGGGTTAAAGGCAGGATAGGTGCAGCGAGTGGGAACAGGGTACTGACATGCGGTAGGTAGCAGGGTATACTGGGCTGTAACTGGAGGTGCTGTTGGGAAAGCAGGAATAGAGCTTTGAAGAAATAGATTAGAAGCAGGACTGGGTTTTTGCAAGCTGACTGAGGCTGGGTGCAACAAATCTGTCCATGTCTGCAGTATGGGTTGAACAAAGCTGAGCTTACACAAAGCCTGTCTGGTCAATGACTGCACTGCGTTTATACAATCTCTTAGTGTCTGTGGTGAACATGCAGAATAACGCTCCAGAAAGTAATCCACATCATCCTCTAATAACCATACCAGGGACTCTACCTGGTCGGGACTAAATGGGGGCAAAAATTCATCCCTGCATTCGGGGGAACCAGATGAAACCAACTCAGCACAAACCTGAATCAATGGCTGCACCTCAGAGAACTCTGTGCCCTGATCTACTAGGCAATGAGCGAGCCGTATACATTCTAGCAGTTCATCCCGGGGATACTCCCTCAGAGTTTGATAAGCATACTCTCTGTCATCAAACACTAGCAGAGATAAATACACAACCTCATCCAGATCCATCCTTCCCATCAACAAACCAAGATGGCTTCCCTGTGCAGCCACTTCTGGTCAGGATTGGCCTTGGTGTAATGTCAGGGCTCCAGGGTATGACCAGAGGTATGTGACTGACGCAGGGAAACGCAGACTTCAGATAAGTTATAAACAATATAATTTATTAAAGACTAACAATACAAACATAAACGCAGTGCAATACTAAAACATAACACAGTGCAAACGAACCAAACCAACCACCCACAGATAACAGTACATACAATGCAAGCGTCGTCAGGCAGGCCGGGTCAATAACAATCAGGCAGGTAGGTACAGGGGGTCAGGCAGAGAATGGTCGGGGTCACAAGCCAGGGATAAAACAGGAGAAGTCAGCAGAGGTCCGGATCAGGCAGGGTCAGCAACGAATCAGACAGGGACAGGGATGGAAAAAGATACAGGGCCCAGGAAAAAAACACACACCAAGGAAGAGACTGCAGGTCTGGCCATCCCTTAAATACACCTGCATGATCAACTTCAGGTGTTTAGCTGGCTGCAGGGTTGAGTCTCTGATTGCTGGGAGCACCCGCTGGCCAGCCCTGGTACTGCAGCCCACAAGGCAGGCGAGTCCCACCATTACTGGCAAGTCCATTCCTGACAGCTGTAGACTGTGTGTGATGTAATGAGGACTGACCCCCTCCCCCCATCCCCTGTTCAAATTGGAGAGAACGGGGAAATGGCATAGTACCAGGGGCGGACTGACCATTTGGGAACTCGGGCACTGCCTGAGGGCCTGGGGTCAGTAGGGGGCCCCATGAGATGCCCCTGGTACCTTTCATAGGCTTTTTTGGGTGTGGTTTGAGTGTGGGCGAGGACACAGGGGCCCCATGATCCTCTATTGCCCGGGGGCCCCATGAGTTGTCAGTCCGCCTGTGCACAGTACACAGTGCCAAGTTAGAGATGAAAATGGTCAGATTGAAATCTCCGGTCTGTAGGGGGCAGTGTGTCTGCTAAACGCCATTAAAGTGGAGGTAAAGGCAGAAAGTTTTTTTTTTATTTTAATGCATGTTATGCTTTATGGTAAAAACCCTTCTGGGTGCAGCTCCTCCTTTACTGACCCATCTCAATCCAGCGATGTGCATGAGAGCCCCCCTCCCCCCTCTATGGCTCACACAGTGTCATTACCAGCCAGTGAGTCAATGAGGAGAGAGCTGGAGGTGGGGCTGAGCCACGCCATGTATGTGAATGGACATTGTCAGTTCACAGGAGTGCGGCTCAGGAGTGAGCCTGCTCGTCTGCCCCCATAGCAAGAGGCTGGGGAGAGGAGCCAGGACCACCAGTGGGAACCCAAAAAAAAAGAGGATAGGGGAGGCTCTGTGCAAAAACATTACACAGAGCAGCAGAGGAGGTTCTTTAATTAGGCAGTTGCCTAAGGCCTCACGCTCACAGGGGCCTCGCAGCCACCTAATTTGCCTAATGCAGTGTTTCTCATCTAGGGCTCCGTGGCGATCTACCTGTCAGTTGCACACAGCTGACGGATAGATCGCATGGACACAGGTGCAAGGAAGTAGCTGGCATACTGTTGGTTGTGCTGTTCCCCGCTGGCCCCTCCTGTCCACTCCGCGTGCTTGTATGTGATATCATCTGCGATGGGGAGGAGGATTCGGCGGGGAACAGCGCGCCACTGGAGGACTGTTGAAAGCTGCTTATGAAGCCGGGTAGAAGAAGAAAGAGGCCGGTACAGTACCGTGCCCATCCTTGTCTCCCACACTGTGCACAATAGTCTGTCCCAAGTAATGTGCCCTGTGCTTTGTCCCATGTAATGTTTGGTATCTATTTACTCGGTGTAACAACATCTTTTACATTTTACCAAACAGTTGGGTATCATATTGTGTTTTTGTGCATTAAGATTTGAAAAAGTAAATTTTAGCTACAAAACTTGTGTTTGAAAAGCCACTGTGAAAATACTGCGTGACATAAAAAAAAATGGCAACACCCCCTTTTTTATGCTCTAGGGCCTCTGTTTAAAAAAAAAAAAATATATATATATATATATATACACACACATACACTATATTGCCAAATGTATTGGGCGGCTTGCCTTTCCACACACATGACCTGTAATGGCCCCCCAGTCTTAGTCCGTAGGGTTCAGTATTGAGTTGGCCCCGCCCTTTGCAGCTATAACAGCTTCCACTCTTCTGGGAAGGCCGTCCACAAGGTTTAGGAGGGTGTCTATGGGAAGGTTGGACCATTCTTCCAGAAGCACATTTGTCAGGTCAGGCACTGATGTCGGGGGAGGAGGCCTGGCTCACAGTCTCCACTCTAATTCATCCCAAAGGTGTTCTATGGGGATGAGGTCAGGACTCTGTGCAGGACAGTCAAGTTCCTCCACCCCAAACTGGCTCCTCCATGTCTTTATGGACCTTGCTTTGTGCACTGGTGTGCAGTCATGTTGGAACAGGAAGGGGCCATCCCCAAACTCTTCCCACAAAGTTGGGAGCATGAAATTGTCCAAAATGTTTTGGTATGCTGACGCCTTAAGAGTTCCCTTCACTGGAACTAGGGGGCCAAGCCCAACCCCTGAAAAACAACCTCTAACCATAATCCCCCCCTCCACCAAATTTTACACATGGCACAATGCAGTCGGGCAAGTACCGTTCTCCTAGCAACTGCCAAACCCAGACACATCCATCGCATTCCCAGACAGAGAAGTGTGATTGGTCACTCCAGAGACTCTGCTCTAGAGTCCAGTGGCGGCGTGCTTTACACCACGGCATCCGACGCTTTGCATTGCACTTGGTGATGTAAGGCTTGGATGCAGCTGCTCGGCCATGGAAACCCATTCCATGAAGCTCTCTACGCACTGTTGTTGGGCTCATCTGAAGGCCACACCAAGTTTGGAGGTCTTTAGCTATTGACTCTGCAGACAGTTGGCGACTTCTGCGCACTGTGCGCTTCAGCATGCGCTGACCCCGCCCTGTCATGTGACGTGGCCTACCACTTGGTGGCTGAGTTGCTGTTGTTCCCAGTTGCTTCCACTTTGTTATAATCCCACTAACAGTTGACCGTGGAATATTTAGTAGCCAGGAAATGTCACGGATGGACTTATTGCACAGGTGACAACCTATCACGGGACCACGCTTGGAGTCACTGAGCTCCTGAGAGCGACCCATTCTTTCACCAATGTTTGTAGAAGCCGTCTGCATGCCTAGGGGCTTGATTGTATACACCTGTGTCCATGGAGGGGATTGGAACACATGAATCACATGATTTGGAGAGCCAGCCCAATACTTTTGCCAATATAATGTGTGTCTGTGTATTTTTATATATATACACTTCTTCATAGAAACCAATCAGCTTTTAACCTCAGTTTGTTCAATTAAGTAATTTTCTAGCAACAAGTACTGAATTTTACATATAAGCAGGGTGTCAGAAAGGGCCTGGTCTTAAGGTGGTCCACAGGGGCAGCAGAAAACAAAAAGATTAAAAAAGTATAAAAGTATAAAAATGAAAAAAAAAAGGCAGAGAGTTCTGAGAGATGGTGACACAAGTAGCTCTCCTGGATGGCCTGCTATGATAGTACTGTGGGAGGGGTCTCTAACCCCAGGGCCTAGTCCCGAAGGATTCAGCTGTACCCCCCCCCCCCCCCCCCAATCCGCTGATCTTGCATGTCTTGAGCAGGTTCTGGATGAGTGTGGATCCTGCAGCAGCTGTTCAGTTATTCCTGTGAAGTGTTTGTGGCGGCGGGTAGTGCAGTTCTGTACTCAGCTATTCCGAGACACAAGTCATCAAGGCGTAAGGCTGTCCTCACCGTCTAGATATTCCCGTCCTGCTTTAAAAATGTCTCCATTCCAATTATAACTTCTTTTTGGCTAAAATAATCTTTCAGTATTCAGGGAAGTAATGGCAGGAGGTTGTTCAGAGATCATGTGACTGATGCCCCGACACAAGGCTCTAGTCCTGTCACTGGAAGTGTAATCACCGCACAAAGGATGAATGCTTAAAGCTGAACTCCGGGATAAGCAAATATTATCTAAATCCATTCATCATGTGTGATCTTCTCAAATATAGGGGGGCTTTGTGTCTTACTTCCAGATCTGTGCAGTCATCCAATCAGGCAGCCATCGGAAATGTTGGGGCCCTTTACACAACATTAGGCATGGGCACCCTCCAGGTCTGACCACCAACATTTCCCAAGTCATACTTCTCCTCCAGTC